CTCTGTAGCGTGTTTTGTTTCTTAGTTTGATCCTCTCCTCGTCCCAAATGATTATTCTTCTCTTTTCCGATGCAGATAAACGAGGTTTGGATCCTGCTCATCCGGCCTTCTCCTGTAAGAAAATTCTGGGCTCTGGACACTCCAAAGGAGACGGGGAGTATTGGAACGACCTTGAGAAGAGTGGAAACCCTTTGAGGGTCTATTGTGACATGTAAAGATAGGGTGGTAAGAAAATGAATTTTTGTTTTGAAACGAGAACTTTAACCAGAGTGTATTTGACTTGGAGCAGTTGTTATTGGAACGTTCTGGTCTTGGCTAATAGTATTATGTTTTTAATCAAAACTATAACAAAAGTCACAAACGTGATTGGTTATCATCAGCCAGCCGATTTGAGCACTAATAGGACAGTGTACACGTCATACTTGTAATCGGACAGCGTAATAGAACCGTAAAGGGACAGTTAACGCGTCATGCCTGCCTGAGTAGAGAGATAGCGTCATGTGTGCACTGTTGTCTCGCATTTCGCCGAGTTAACTTATGTTTTTTTGTTTTTATGAAAACGTATGTCTAGTTTTATGAAAACTGATGTCTAGTTTCTTTCTCAAATTTTAACACAGTTTTGATTAACTGGTAACAGGACTTCTTGTCGTCCAATTCTGTCTCTAATGATACACGTGATTAACAAATCGGACTCCCACTTTGGGATCGTACGATTTTGTTAATCACTCGTATGATTTCAGACCGAATTGGACTCCACTCAGTCCTGTTATCATTATTAATATGTCCAAAATTCTATTTACATGGATGTCACCAGATCATTAAGGTTTGTTTTATTTTAGGAGGTTAGCTCCTGGTGTCAAATGTTGAGTGCGGAAGTCTCTCTCCTAAGGTGTCAGTTGAGACATCATACCGTGGAATAGGTAAGTCACATATGGTTCTGCAGAAAAGTGCCATGAAAGAGCTCAGAAGATACTTGTCCTTCACTCAGCTGAGATTCCACTGCCGTAATAAACAGGGACGCACATTCCACGTGGTCACAGCTTTCAACAGCTCAGGTGAAGCTGTGGTCCAGTACTTCAGCGGTCGAGCAACCGGACGCCTGTGTTTCGTTTGTGAGATTGACGTTGGATGACAATTCCAAGTTAGCTAGCATTTGCAAAGATTGGGGACTAGCAAATGGAAAGTACTATGTTGGAAAGTGGGGACATGGTGGAGATCAAAAGAGGTTATAGAGCTTCCCTGCCTTCTGACAATTTAAGTATCACCTTAGGGTCTACTTGAATAGCGACAACGACATAGAATGCGATGATGTCGCCTCTCAGAGTGTTAACTCAATCGGCGATTTCTGGAGAGTATTTGTTCGTTAGTTGATTTAACTCAGAGCTGTCTATACACCAAGCAACCCTTGACTGTGAAAATAACTTCTTCAAACGAATAGACTGAAAAAAGAGACGAACACAAGAAATGCACCGTTACCCTCAGCTGTGGATTGTAAAGCCGTTTTAGCGCACAAATAGCTAATTAGGTCACATGTCTGACGCTCGCTTCTTCCTTGTGGTAGGCTTACCGACATTGCTCCACTATTTTTATGATGTAGTTCTAGTTTTACATACACCGGATCCTAAAGGAGTCGATGAGATACACACAGTTTTCTATGTAATAGTTTATGTTGCTTTATTTATTTTCAAGAACAATTAAGGTTCGAAGAGTTAGACTTCCCCTTTTGTTTGGTCACGGAATATGTAAATATACTGATTTCTGCGTGAATATAAATAAATATTAGGGCAAGGTGTTTTTTTAAATCTTACAATTTGTTATTTCATACATTTCAAAGTCAAATCGTTCAAGTTTTTGAGAGCACGAGGAACTTTGTCCGAAGTATAAAGGGGGTAAGTTTTTAGAGAAACAGTGATGCTGTGTCGGTGGGGGAGTATGACAAAATAATTTGGTTTTATCAACTGAATTGTTAACGTAAATTGTAAATCAGAAAGACGTTATTTACAGATCAGTAAAGGTGAGAATTTGACGATTTAACTGACGGATCAATTTTTCTATCAATCTTATTCCGTAAGGGGATGCATTCAGATTAGTTTTAGAATTCTTTTGTTTCCGAAAGCCTGTAAGGATTAAATCTAAATCTAGAAAAATGATCGAACAATCCTCTCTCGAGAATTAACTCATAAAACAAACATGAGCTCTAGTTACTACTTGTTTTACAGTATTTTGTCAGGAACAATCGAACAAATCTGCTCGCGATCGAGGCATCGGTATTGCATCACTGAGAGAACATAGATGCCATTGGTCTTCAAACAAGCAATGGCCAGTCTCAACCTCCTAGAGAGATTTTCGCTCGTGTGAGTTCAGTGGACTTTCTGATACAGAAACCTTTGATATGATAGGAGAACCCCCTCGTATAGAATGACGACTATTTTAGCCTCCTAATTGTAAACATGCATGCGGTATGAAAAGAGCCCCTACTTAGCCTACTCCGGTCCGCCACAACGGAAACGTTTTCTTCCAAGGGGCACATAACGTTGCTAATATCGGGATTTCAGTCGACTGAAACTTGAAGAAAAAGCTTATGCATAATATAATTCTTGACTTGTAGAGAGCTCTGAACGCGACATTTATGCAATGCCCAACTTAAATACGTCTTTTAATTGAAGGGCTGAACATGTCGTGAGTCGTGAATCAAAATACACTTACTTTCTCGGATAAACAAACTTCACTGAGCCCCCGGGGAAACAACGACTTGACTTTCGACTCTCACGTGATGCAATGCCCAATTTAAATACGTCTTTTGATTGGAGGGCTGAACATGTCGTGAGTCATGAATCAAAATACACTTACTTTCTAGGATAAACAAAATTCACTTGGCCCCCGGGGAAGCAACGACTTGACTTTCGACTCTCACATGATAAGGTCGTTCACCGTGAAACCGCAGCAAATGTGTGTGCCAGCCTGCCTATAAAAATTATTTTTTGCAGTAATTTTCGAGTTGGGATGTATGAGAAACACTTTTAAAAAATAAAAATTAAAGTGACGAGCACCACAGGAAACAGTGAGGATTCCTTTACATTGCCCTGCCAGGGCAACAAAACTCACGGTATCCCTTGGAGTCGGTCATTAGTCACTTACTTTACCAACTTTGCCAGGTGTCTACATTATAATTGTCTAGAAGCGAAATTAAACACTATTAGTATGGTAGCTAGAGGGCAAAGGATGAGAAAATAATTAGTACATCAGAAGAAACAAATGTTTCTTAGCATATTGGCTTCCGTTGTCAATTTTAACGTGCATGAGTCAAAAATAGGAACGCAGAAATACATGTATGGTACAGCAGATATATCTACCAATTGTGACTCATAAATGTACGAGTTAGAAGGTGAGAGGGAATTCTGTCACTTTTCATCTCTCTCTGTTGAAATTACATCCTATAGCTCTTTTTTATTAGGCGAATTTCGCTTTGTTTGGTGGGAAAAGGTTGTCATCGATCCCGAATGCGACTAATCGATACTCATAAAAATCCGTGTGCAAGAGAAAAGAGGTCCGGAAAAAAAAGAAAAATCCGAATGATCGAGGTTGTTTCTATTAATGTTAAACGCCCCCACGCTTTACTCGAATGTAAAGAAATGTCAATCAGAACTGTTAGTCGTGATCAGTACTTCGTTCAAAGCTGACTATTGCTTGATTTACGAAAGGGGTTCTCAAGCTGTTTCTTTTAATTTTTTTTTTAATTATTGTCTCATGTTTCATTAAAATTGTATGAAAAGCTGATAAAAGATTTTTTCAATAGAAAAATACGAGATGAGTTGAAAGAGACTGAAGGTCAGAATATACTGGTTTCAAGGAGGAACCAAGTTATTCAATTTGGAAAAAATTGGTTAATTTAAACTTAAGAAGAAGATTGCTTTCCAACTTTGATAACAACATAATAAAAACAATCCGAGTAATCAGGTTTGTTTCTAGCTAAATGCCCTCACGCTTTACTCAAATGTAGAAAAAGCTAACCCCAAGCCGTGATCAGTACTTCGTGCAAAGTTGACTGATGCATAATTCATGTATGGGTTCTTAAGCTGTTTCTATTTATTTCTTTTAATCATTGTCTCAAAGTTCATTAAAATTGTATGAAGAGTTGACAAAAGAGTTTTTCGATACAAAAATACGAGAGGAGTGGAAGGAAACTGAAGGTAAGAATATACTGGTTTCAAGAAGACTGCTCTCTAACTTTGATAACAACATAAATCTTGAATAGTCGGCCACTTGGATAAATACGTTTGAGTGAGAAGTATTTCTACAAAAGACCTTTACTGCCGCATAAACGTGAAAGAAAAGTCGAGTCGTGATCAGTACTTCGTGCAAAACTGACCAATGCATAATTTATGTAAGGGTTCTCAAGCTGTTCCTATTCATTTCTATAATTTTCATTGTTACCTAAGGTTCATTAAAATTGTATGAAAAGTTGATAAAAGAGTTTTTCAATGCAAAAATACGAGAGGAGTGGAAGGAAACTGAAGGCAAGAATATACTGGTTTCAAGGAGTAACCAAGTCATTCAATTTGGAGAAAATTGCTTAATTTAAACTTCAGAAGAAGATTGCTCTCTAACTTTGATAACAACATAAATCTTGAATAGTCAGCTGCTTCGATAAATATGTTTGAGTGAGAAGTATATATACAATAGACCTTTATTACCGCATAAACGTGAGAAGAAAAGTCGAGGAAAAGTAAGAAAAGGAAGGTGAGTGTGAGTGAGAAACTCGATGTATTTACTCACTATCGGGTGCGTAACTTGTGCAAGCCAGCGGACAAGAATTAATCCTCAGCAGGGAAGATTCCTTTATATGACTTGGTACTTAAAAAAGCGCTTGTATTCCTTCGCTGAGTCAGACAAAGTGTGATTAGCAAAATCCTAAATTCACAATCAAAACTATTTGTTGCATCTAAGAAGGGAGAAGGGCAACATTTGTCATCTGTTTTTCTTTCTTTCTCAAATTACAGGATGAGAGGGCTTCTAGTTGGTTTCCATTTCTGTCCCGTTCTGTTGAGTGGTGTTGCTTTGTTTCTTGTGGCTTTCAGTTCGTCTTTGCACACTGACTTCAGCAGGGACGAGGTTTTCGAGCGAATTGAAGGTAACACGTAAATTTGTTATACCTCTCGACACGGTGATATTTTGTTCCGGTGGGATGTGAGTGTTTCAAGTGCCATGGGATCGGAAAACTGGGATCGGTTGACACAGATTTTGATCCCTCCCCCACCCCCCTAATAAGGGTTTGTGAGATTCCTACAATCCCCTTCATTGGTAGTAAATTTCCATTCTTCCCCCTTTATACTCTGTTAGCCACAGCAGTTCGCCCTGGAAAAAAAATATAAGATCGCCCCAAAATTGGGTAAAAACAACAGGAACTTTCAACGTGCAACTCTCATAACTCTCAGGGCTTCTTCATATTCACCTTTGTACGATATCAAGAGTCAAGATGACCTCTTAAGACAGGGTAATTAACTACACACAAACTGTATTATTAAAGTATCCAAAATAAACTGAGTGATGAGAACATGAAACACGATTGTGTTGTTTTTCAAGGATTTGAGCTAATTGGTCACATCACCAAGACATTATATGCTGACGAAATAAGCTGTGGATTGAGTTGCCTTCGAGATGAAAAATGCCAATCTTACAACAGCAAATCCGATGCTAGTGATATAAAGAAGGAATGTCAACTGAGTAATCAAACCAAAAATTCAAGTCCGGAAAACCTGAGGTGTAACCCACGTTCTACTTATTATGGAAGAGGTACTGTTGAGTAAGGTGCTTAACATTATGGAAAAGTTAGAGGAGGTGGGAGGGTATGAAGGTTCGGAGTATTTTGGTTGTCACGATATAGTTTTCCTGATCCTTCCATAACATTCCGAATTATTCTATCGATCTTCCTCATTGGCCGCCAATTTTCTTTAGTCCCACCTTTAAACTCTGTTAGCGACAACTGATCCCCTCTCCATTCCCTTGGAAAAAATTATATCCCCCCCCCCAAGACTCTGCCACCCCTCCCACCACCTCTTTCCATGACCAAGTCAAAAATGGTGACCTATTTCTTACTTTTGATTAGCGCTTTTCAGAGCTCTCTCATGTCACGTGTACATCCATGTATAATCTTTCCCGAGAGGATATGAAGTTAAAAATCTCTTGCTTTTCCTTATAATGAAAGGTTTTCCATATTCTTAGTTTGAATTGAAAGATGCTATGGATCCTGCAAAGATTTATAAAATCTAGAGCTATCTAACAATTACGCGAAAAGAACTACTTATGGAATAAGACCTCTGTGGCGTGTTTTGTTTCTTAATTTGATCCTTTCCTCGTTTCAAATGATTATTCTTCCTTTTTCCTATGCAGGTAAACGAGGTTGGGATTTTGCTCATCCGGCCGCCTCCTGTAAAGAAATTTCGGACTCTGGACACTCCAAAGGTAAACGAGGTTGGGATTCTGCTCATCCGGCCCTCTCCTGCAAAGAAATACTGGGCTCTGGACACTCCAAAGGAGACGGGGAGTATTGGATCGACCCTGAGAAGAGTGGAAACCCTTTGAAGGTCTATTGTGACATGTCAAGATATGGTGGTAAGAAAATGAATTTTTTTTTTTGAGACACGAGGACTTCAACAGGAGTATATTTGGTCTTGGCTATTCTTGCTTTCTCTACAAATATCCTTCTTATGTTTTGAATCAAAACTACTGCAGAATTCTTGAAACTGATTGGTTATCATCAGCCGGCCGATTTGAGCACTAATAGGACAGTGTACGCGTCATACTTGTGATTGAACAGTGTAATAGGACCGTTAAAGGGATAGTTAACGCGTCATGCCTGTGTGAGTGGACAGAACGCGTCATGTGCGCGCTGTTGTCTCGCATTTCGCCGGGTGAACTGTTGTTTTTCGTTTTTGTGAAAACGTATAACCGATGTATAGTTTCTTTCTAAATTTTTGTCATAGTTTTGATTAATTGGTAACAGGCCTTCTTGTCGTCCAATTCTGTCTGTAGTGATACGAGTGATTAACAAATCGGATTCCCGCTTTGCGGTCGTACGATTCTGTAAATCACTCGTATGATTACAGACCCAATTGGACTCCACTCGGTCCTGTTACTATTTAATATGTCCAAAATTCTATTTACATGGATGTCACCAGATCATTTAGGTTTGTTTTATTTTAGGAGGTTGGCTTCTGGTGTCAAATGTTGAGTTCGGAAGTCCCTCTCCTAAGGTGTCAGTTGAGACATCATACCGTGGAATAGGTAAGTCAAACATGGTTTTGCAGAAAAGTGCCATGAAAGAGCTCAGAAGACACTTGTCCTTCACTCAGCTGCGATTCCACTGCCACAAGAAACAGGGACGCACATTCCACGTGGTCACAGCTTCCAACAGCTCAGGCGAAGCTGTGGTCCGGTACTTCAGCGGTCAGATAGATGAGCAACCGGACGCCTGTGGTTCGTTTGTGAGAGTGACGCGGG